AAATTAGCTCCCAGGATAGACGTCTGGAGCGCTGGAAAGAACACTATGAGGAGCAGTTTAATTGGCCCACAGCCACACTTAACCTACCGGACATCCAACACCTCCCTGAATGGGAGATAGACACAGGTCCTCCGTCCTTAACCGAGGTTACTAAAGCTGTCACCAATCTGAAGCTAGGCAAAGCAGCAGGACCTGATTTATTGACTCCAGAGGTATTTAAGTACGGAGGCGACAGTTTACTGTCTGCGTTAACGGAGGTTCTAGGCAGCGTCTGGGAATCAGAGGAAGTCCCATCGGGTTGGTGTAAGTCACTGATCATCCCGATATACAAGAAGGGGGACAAGTCGTCTTGTGATAATCACAGAGGGATTAGCTTGACTAATATAGTATCTAAAATCCTAGGCTCAATAATACTGCGTAGATTAAGTGGTGCTCGGGAGACACAAACACGAGAAAACCAGGCAGGTTTTAGGCCAGGTAGAGGGTGTATTGATCACATCTTCACCCTTCGACAGATTCTAGAACATAGGCATTCCTACCGGCGTCCGACAATCATTATATTTCTTGACCTAAAGGCGGCATTCGATTCTGTCGACCGGGAGGTTCTCTGGCGATGCTTGGCTGTAAAGGGAATGCCAAGAAAATACATTGCACTGATTAAGGCACTCTACTCGTACTCATGCAGCCAGGTGAGGGCTTATGGCGAGTTGTCATCTGAAGTGGTGACGACTAGTGGCGTCCGTCAAGGATGCCCATTATCCCCATTCCTATTCAATTTCATCATAGATGTACTAATGGACTTAACCCTAACTCACTTCAGCGACTCAGGGATTGACTTGCTACCAGGGAAGAATCTCGTTGACTTAGAATATGCAGACGATATAGTCCTTCTAGGCGAGGACTCTGACAAAATGCAGAGTCTACTGAACACCCTGAGCAACAATCTCCGCATGTTTGGCATGCGATTCGCCCCTATAAAATGTAAGATGATGCTGCAGGATTGGACTTCATCGACCCCTAGATTAGAAATAGGAAGTGAAGTGGTAGAACACGTTGACCGCTTCAATTACTTGGGAAGTACCATCAGCCCCAACGGGTTGATCTCCGACGAAATTTCAGCACGAATACAGAGGGCTAGGTTCGCATTCGCCAGTTTTCGCCGTCTCTGGCGTAGACGCGATATCCGACTATCGACCAAAGGGCGTGTGTACTGCTCAACAGTCCGCTCCGTCCTCCTTTATGGCTGTGAGACCTGGCCATTGAGAGCAGAAGACATGAAAAGATTAGCTGTCTTCGATCATAGGTGTCTGCGTTCTATCTCCCGCGTGAAGTGGTATAATAAGGTGAGCAATATTGAGGTTAGTCGTCGAGTGCTAGGTAAGGCGGGGAAATCAATCGACGAAACTGTGAAATTACTTCGACTGAGATGGTTAGGACATGTGCTACGTATGCCTAGTCATCGCCTTCCTCGACGGGCAATGTTAGCTGATATAGGGTCAGGCTGGAAAAGAGCTAGCGGCGGTCAAACCAAAACATGGCACCAATCAATGAAATCCACAACAGTTAATCTAAGTCACGTAGGAAGATGTAGACTTCCTGGTTGGGGCCCTCGGGATGGTAAAAACCAATGGTTGGAAACAATTGGTGACATGGCTCAAAATCGTTCTCAGTGGCGCAGATGCATCCACTCCTTGTGACTTATGATTTCCAATTAAACTTTTGTTCTCCGTTATTACTATTCCTTTGTCTCACACCCCTGTTTACTGTCTATATTATGCATTTCTTCTACTTTCTTCTCTTGCTTTGCGTGCTACATAGATTGTGGCGACTTGAACTGCCGCACATATGTGCAAAGTTCTATGTCGAAAACAGACAGACAGACAGACAGACAATTAAAGGTTAACATTGTTATTGAGTGATAAAAAGGGTAGCTGAGTGTCCATTTAACAGGTGTGAAGAGGGTGAGAAAATGTACAAAAGGAACAAATGAGAGTGATAATAGAGAATTAATTATTAAAGTGAAAACAAACTAAAACTAAAATTGAAATTAAAATTTTTTCCAGGGAACGGCTAATGAAGAGGTTAAGACCATGGTAGAATAAGAGACTAGACAAACGCTTTCTGTAGACAAAGTTCGAAGCTGTATTGACGAATTGCCAACGCCTCCGAGATACACAAAAGCCGAAACATGAATCCCTTTGTACCATTTGGTCTCACCTTGTAAATGATCTTGAAAGACGACTCTGGTGGAACTGCGTGGCTTCAGTTCACCAAGTGTTAGGGAACTGAGCTAATAACTGTCTTGCATTGTCCTTTTGCTAACCATGCCAGACAATGTTCAGAGATGCATTTGGAAAGTGTGCGCTTTGTGCAGCCAATATAACTAGCTCCACATCAGCAGGTGAATTTATAAACACACATTGTGGAGTGGCCCAAAGCGGCAGTTTATCTTTCACACATCTATTGATCATTTGTCTGCTGCAGAAATTGATCCGTAGTTCAGCCACAAAGAAGGCTTTTCTCAGTGATGTGCACAAGCAGTTCTTCAGAATTTCAGCTGTGGTATCACCTTTAAATTCAGTGTTCATGAATAGCAGTTTCTTCTTCGCCACCGTCTGGGTTCTTTCGGGTTTTTGCTTTACTTTC